AATTGAACAATTTCTATAACTATTTCCGGACCATTTCTTTAAATTTTAGATTTTTTCCAAAACAACTTCTATAACTTTGTGACTAGGTATTTTTGTAATTTCTTTGAAAAATGAAGGCCTGTTTTGTATATTTTTTTCTTATTTTTTGTGGAAAGGATAATAGTAATGAACGAGAATAAAATCTATGAGTAAAATGTATGGTTTTGTGTGGATTTTCCATCTAAATATCTAAGAGAATTATAATAATTTTAATTATAAATACGGGATTTTGTAAAATCTAAAATGTAATTTTTTTATCAGAAAAAATATTTTTTCTTGGTCCGAAATACTTCTGGACCAATTGGTTATTTTTGTTTAAAAAAATTGTTATTTTTTTTCAAATATACATTAAATTGTGGTTAGATTACTTAATTTCCATATTCCCTAAGGAATGAATCAGTGGCGGACCCAGAGAAAAATTATAGGGGTAGCATAATAGAATATACAAGCAGGTAAAAGAAACAAACAAAGAACAAACATAACAATGTACTTATGAAGCAAATCAACAATCATCATAAAAGGCAACGAACTTTGCATGATGTGCCAATGAAGAGCAACCAACCCAAACACGACAATAGAAGCAAAACCACCATAGAAGAGTTGTGTTACAAGAGAGCAAACAGCCAAGGAAACAAAGAGGCACCAGGGGCCAAAATGTCCAAACTAGCAAAAAAGAGGAGAAACCACCATAAAATAATAACATGAATCAATAGGGGCAAACTTGTCCATTCCATAAATTTAAGTTCAGTGAAGTTGCTAAAATTCACCTAAATTGTTACAGAATGACCTGGTTAAACATTAAATAGGTTTATGTAGATGTTGTCTGATCAAAACTAACAAAATAAGTTTCGTGAACAAGAGAAATAATCAAGTTGTAAAAGTTTGTGCAACTACTCTAATTTATTTCTGATCCATATTAGGCTTTCACTTGAACATTACTAGTTTTGTGTAATATGAAAGCTTGGTGTATCTCATGTTTTGGAACAAAAATAAATTAGAGAAAGAATAATCAAGTTATACAAATTTCATCATATATCCTTAGCTTAATTCTAATTTCACATATGCATCGATCTACACTTGAATCATATGAAAAAATAGATCACAAACCAGTTCAAAGTAAGCAATATCTAGGAAACATTTAAGAAAAGCAATATTTGAGGATTCCAGTTGATGCAGGTGTTATGTTTACATTCATCGGTTACAACATTGTTGATGGTTTTCATTGAAGAGTTTTATCAAACACTTGGTGTTCATAAAAAACAAAGACCATAGATTAAACGATCACATCCATATGAAAAATCCTTAAAACACAGTATAATCTATAAAGCTATTTAACTATTTCTACTAGAAGAAAATCAAAAATCATCATTGAATATGGTCACAATCAGAAAGCAAGGAAATCAACTATCGTGGATCTACAATTGAAAAGATGAGCAAGAAGAAGTCAGAAGTTTGAACTGTAAAATAGAGAAATCTGTGTGTGCCTTCACTACGTCTGCTCCTCTTTCTCATCTTCATTGTCCTTGGTCTTCAAGAATATGGGCTAAGGGGTAGCACAATATATTATCTAGGAATAGCGCCTCTTCTTCAACAAATTTTTTTACACTTCTAGGACAAACTTGAGGGGTAGCACGGGCTACCCCTGGCCACTAGTTGGTTCCGCCCCTGGAATGAATATATAATAAGTCGTTGAGATATTTGCTCTATTATAAAAACAATATTTTCATAAAACTTTGTTTAATCTCGGATGAAACATCGTATCTAAAATATGAATGAAGGTCTTGCAAAAGAAGTAAAAAAAGTGTTGAATATGTAATAAAACATGGTTTTTCAATAGTAGTTTCTTACCATTTGATTCAGAAGTCAAACAATAGACATTCGTAAAGAGTTTTAAAAATTACTTCATTAAATGGGAATAAATTTAAGTGTCTGAATGAAATTATATCAGTAACTAGTCGAATCCCCGCGCGTAAATATAAATATTTAATAAAAATAATAAGATTTATCAAAATATGATTTAGTATTTATACATGTAAAACCAATGTCAATATCAAAACAAATTTTATAGTTAACATATTAGTTTTATTAATTTTAATAAATTTATATCATTAGTTATTTCCACTATTAATTCATGATTTTATAGACCGTTTTATGTTGTGTAAATTATATATCAAACATATATTTATTTCTATGTATAAAACAAACAATGTAGCATGAAATAATATTTACTACAACTTTTGATGATTTTATAAAACGTTTTAAGGTGTGGAAATTATATAAAAAATATATGCCGCTTTGTATATAAAACAAATAACAAATAGTATGAAAAACACTATAGCTTTTAATAAAATAAAAACACTACAACATTATAACATTTACATCAAACAAAACTTATTAAACACTTATAAATCATTCAAAATGAATATTTAGAAATCAATATACATTTGATATATAGAAACATTGTTATAAAAAATTTGTGTTGAAATAGCCATTGATACGACAAAACTTTTTTTTTTCAACTCTTTCATTTTGAATCACAAATCTTTTCACACATATGATTTTTTAATCAGAACTTACTTATATACTACTAATAAAGCTACAATGTGTATAATAAATAAATAAATAAATAACATTGCACACTAATACTCATAAGTTTAAAAAACTTTTGAATATAGTGGAAAATATAAAGGCAAATTACATTAAATTTGAAAGCATAATTACATTTTAATAAAAAACTATTGAGTTGCAGTGAGAGTTTTAAACTCTTGATTTATGCCCAATAATGTAATATAAATACTAACAGTTATATGTTATAAAAACAATATTATAAGTATTTATCATTGAAATAATAATTTTTATACTAAATTGTAACTAATATTATAATAATTTTAAGTATACGATAAGAACGATATAAAAAGTTGTGTTTGAATGAAATCGAATTAAGTTTTTGATTTAAAATTATTTTAAACTATAGTTATTTTTAACTAATTTATAAATAATTTATTTGAATATTTTTTATTTCCTATATTATTATTATTATTATTATTATTATTTCGAATAACAATAATTTTTTAATATAATATAATCTATTATTTAGTTTTACGTTATTTTAAACAATTATTACTTTTTACTAATTAAAAACTACTTACTTGAAAATTTTCATTATTATATTTAAAAAAAAAAACTATCATACTTTTTTATTGTACTTTCATTTTTTTCCTTAAAGCTATGAAATGTTGGAAGAGAATGAACGGTCCAAATAAAATGGTGATTTGAATTTCAAAACTATAGTAATTGTTATGTACTGCGACCAATCTTTAAAAAAATATGTTAAGAGTGGGTTAGGGGAGGATGAATGTTACACTTGAGGTATATTTTGATCACTTATATTTTCTTATAAAAATATTAATATTTTATTTATTTTACTTTTCCTTTACGAAAAAAATGAATAGGAAAAAAGGAAATTGACAAATGTAATAAAATAATTTATTTTTATTGTATAAAAACATTTAAAATTAGGTACATCCATATAAGTTTGGTAGAACATAAATAATTCGTTTTTATAACACATATAGTTATTGGTTTTCAACAATAAAGTCATATCATATTAAAAATCATTCGTTCTAATCGTCATTATCACCAACAATTTGGAATAATAATTGTAAACTCCTTTCATCAAAATCAATTATAAAAAACTTCATCGATGTTATTTACAACAAAATAAACGATAGGAACTAACGTAGTATATACATAACATAAAATATATGTTGAATAATGTTCTCTTGTACATAAAATATATTTTCTTAACTTAAAAAAGAGAGACAATATAAAGATACATACATGTTAACAAAGTGAATTGCTCTAACTTGTAAATAGTTTGATGGTTGATTTACCAAAAGCGCATGAGAAGTAATTATCAATCCCACTTCATCATCCTGTGATTATAGAAGGATGCATAACACATAAACTTAAAAAATGATCTCAAGTACACATTTACAAACATACCTAAATTTGAACCTTGGTTAATATCTAAAATTTTACATGCACCCAATTTGAGTTTATATGAATTTATATTTGGAAGAGTTGCAGTTGCTTTCTTACATCCATGAAACCACTCATATAACTCTTCAAACCCTACAAAGATAATCTATCATTTTGTGTTGACATACATGCAATATGTAATCTATAAATTTCTTATATAGGCTAAATATTTCATTTAACTCATCAATTAAATAGCATGATTTGAAGAGTTTTAAGAATTACAAATCATAATACTTCAATTAATCATAAATTAATTTGTATAAGTTGAATAGTCTTGGGAGTTTCAAATGCATGAGGTTCAAGGAAAATGGTACTGGAAGTTTCAAATGCATGAGGTTCAAGGAAAAATGCTAGCTTTATAAGTTATATAGATAGATATAGATATAGATAGATAGATAGATAGATAGATAGATATAGATAGATAGATAAGTAATATCAAATTCGTTGTATCTTATAAATATCATTTTCCCTGTAAAATTGAATAATAAACATTTATCCTCATGAAACCACATCATGGACAAGGACAAACACATGATGCAATCTATGTTTTGAGCAAAGTAAACCAAAAGCCTAAATGAGATAATTAGTGTAAATTTACAATGTTTAAAATAATACAAATCAAACATCGTGAGCATTTTAAATGAAATAATTAGTTTTAAATGAATTAATGATAATAAGAAGAAAATGGTTAAAAACTAAGGCTATAAAAAATCAAAAAAGACACCATTTCAACAATAAGCATCAAACAAACAGTTACAATGTTACATTACACTCACTTTCAAGTTCAAACCCAACATGTTCTCATTAAAAAAATCCATTTTTTCTTTTTTCAGATCAAAAATGAAAAATGCATCGTATGTATTAGACACAAAAACTATTTTTTATAAATTTAGATGTAACGAACTCAAACCTCATCTCAACTACTTCCAGGCTTTTCCAAAGCTGTCACACAATGTAACAGTTCGGTTAAAAATGAGGTTTTCAGGTGTCGAATCCTTATCAGCCACAAAATAACCTGATAATTTTCAACAAATTAATATTTATTCATTTTTTAAAAAAAGTTTTATAATTTTTTTATATAATTTACCAAGTCTTTCGAACTGAAATTTGTCGTCTACTTCTACATGTTTGAGAGATGGTACAACATATGCACATGGTATCACCACTTTGGAATTCGAGTTTAAATCATCAAGCCACTTGTCAAGTTCTCCAGGGTTCTGATTTTAAAATAAATAAAAATAAAATTAACCGGATATATAAATTTATTATAAAAATAAAAATGACCAACCTCAAAAAGAAAGAAAGAGTTTGTCAAAGAGTCTAACTTCCGCTTTTAATGGATCAAACTCCCGGAGAAGGCCTTGCAACCCAATGAAGAACACCCTGTGCATATAAATAAAATAAAAAGTTTATGAATAAAATATCATTAAAGAAAGAAAAGAAGTTTAAACATATTAAAACTTGCTTTTGGTTTTGTCTTTTTGTCCGGATCATATTCAACGTGTACTTCAACAACAGTCTTTTTGTCTTCAGAAAGTATTACTTCTGTACACTTGATAGGAAATACATATCTTAATGAAAAGATATTGTTTGATTAGAGAATTTGGTATATGGTAATTGAAGAGGGAATGGAATCGGAATGAAAAACTGTGTTTCTCACATAGGAATGGAATGGAGCATTCCTCACTCAATTTGAGTGATTCTCATTCCATATAATTTCATGTTGTTTCTAATTGTACATAACAAAGAACATGTTTGAATGGCTCATTCCATTCCCTCAAGCCAACCAAACATGATAAATGGAACAAAATGAACCAATCGATTCCATTTATTTGTGATTCCATTCTATCAAAGTTATGAAAATTATAGCAAGACCCGAGTAGGACAGTCTTTCTAGGAGCAAGTCCATAATAGTCTTTTGAGTCCTTCATTCGAAGTCGGATTGCTCAATATAAACAACTTTTGAAAATGGTATCTTTCAAGAAAAAAAAATAAAAAAATGCACTCGATATAAAAATCTAAAAATAGAAAATATTAATAAAATAAAAAGCCAACCTTGTAGTAAGAAGATGGATCATCTCCTGGTGTGTCCAGTCATTTCTTTGCATCAAGGTCTGTTACTAAACTGCCCTTAAGATTTGTAATAACAACCTAAAAACATTAAAATTCAATAACAAGATTATTAATATAAATCACATTTTTGGTCCCTGAGTTTATCCGATTTTTGCATTTTTAGTCCCCCAAAAGTTTTCTCTTGCACTTTTGGCCCTGCTTTGAGGTTTTTCTAAAGTTTTTGGTCATTGTTTCAAGTAAAATGACCAAAATTTTGAACCAAAACTGGAGAAATCAGCTATATTCAGACCCAAAATAGTCAGTTTACTCGGAACAAGTCTAAAAACGTTACAAAAACCTCAAATAAAGACCTAAAACTGTAAGATAAAACTTTTGGTGACCAAAACTGAATAAATAGCTATACTCAGTGACCAAAAATGCCATATCAGAGTTACATTTTTGGTCCCTAAGTAACCTAAAAGTTTTCTTTGGCAATTTTGGTCCTTATTTGAGGTTTTCTTAACGTTTTTGGTCCCTATTCCAAGTGAAATGACTATATTTTAGGACCAAAATTGGAAAAATCAGCTGTAATCATAGACCGAGAATAGTCATTTTACATGGAACAGGGTGCAAAATGTCATAAGAACCTAAAACATGGACCAAAAATTTAAAAGAAAACCTTTTGGGCTCAAAATTGTAAGATAAAAGTTTTTGAGGTGAAAAATGTAATTTAGTGTACCTTTAGTGGATGCAGCACAACCATTCTACGCGAAGCTGCTTTATTTAACTCTTCACGCACATGATACTCGAGGCGTTCCAACCGTAATCCCAATTCCTCTAACAAAACCATTTATTGCAGTTGAAGTCACACCTCTGCGCGTCAATCCAGCTAGTGTCATCAAGCTAGTGTCATCAACCGCGAGTCGCCCCATCCATCACCATACTTTTCAGTCACAAGCCGATTCAACTATAAAAACAATATAATATTAATGTTTTTTCTTATAAATAATTATGAGATTGACTTTGACTTTGACTTTTACTTACTTTGCATTTTGACATTACTGTGTTGGTTATATTCAAATGTGAATACTCCCATACGTAAGGCTGGTAAAGGCTTAGGGCCTCTAGCAACGAGTAGTATGAAGCGCGACATGTCTCAAATTCAAGCTTACAAAGCTACAAAAAACACAAATACAAAAAGTAAATGTTTTATTTTTTATATAAAAACACAAATACAAAAAGTAAATAAATAAATACCGAATGTGTAGCACATTAAGAACGTTAGAGATTGAAGTAAATTATTTGTAAAGTACAAGGACCATTTATATAACTTTATCTTTTTTAATTCTTAAGCCGTGAGAATCAAGCAAAAATTTCCGTAGTTCGTCACGTGAAAACCCCTAAAATCATTTCATCCCCCAAAACGTTACATTTGCCAGGGTTTAGTACAGGGGTTTATTTCAATACGCAATCTCTAGAAAAATCTACAGATTTCGGAGAAATTGAGGTGGAGAAAGATGGTGGAAGCTCTTGACCTTTTTCTGAAGATCGGGTTAGATAAGCGCACTGCAGAGAACACCATCGCCAACAATAAAGTCACCACGAACCTCGTCGCTGTGATTAACGAGGTATGGTTTATACTGATACTCAAAAGGTTGCATGCAATTGCATCATGAACAACTTATTTTGGTGTATGCGTGTGATTGGTCTGAAGTAGATTCAAGGAGTTTTGATTTCCTTCGGGAATCTGGATTGCGGCTGTATATCATAATCGAGCTGTTGCTATTAACAGTTACATCAAGTCTTTCTGGAGAGATTTATAGAGATGAGCTTATTAAAAGAACATGCTTCTGTCTTCCGAGTTCCCATATGAAACAAATTGCAAACAACTTTACAGTGAAAAGCATTTTTTTTTTTGTAGTGAAAATTTATCCCATTATGTTATTCCTGCCAGAATAACATCTTTACTGAGAAAAAAAGAGGACAAAACATGGTTTTCGACTTGTTTTTCGCACACAGATTGTTTTTACAAGGATTTGACTACATTTTCGATCTTGGTTAAGCTTCATGAGAGTCAAATTGTATCTTTTTCTCAGGTGCTTAAGAGATTAGTTACACTTCTAAAGCATCCTCTCTTACTTTCAGTTTAATTGTTGTCAAAAGACTATCACTTCAGCTTCATATTTCTCATAAATTTGTTTGGATATGTTATATGTAAGTACGTATACATACCCTTCTTCATATTAAAATATACAATGCTGTCTCTGCAGGCAGCTGTTACTGATGGATGCGAACGTTCTACAGGCAATCTTCTCTATACGGTAAATCTCTTGACATATTGTTTGTCTTTCATCTTTAACATGAACATGTTGATATGCAAATTTCTAGTTTGCATTTCACTTCTACAAGCCACCAGATTTATATTTTCTATTAGAAAAAGCCATATGAAGTTTTGAGTATCATACCAATGATTGCTTCTGCATAACAGGTTGCTACAAAATTTCCAGCCAATGCCCTTGTGCATCGTTCCAAGTTGCTGGAATACATTGTTTCTTCTAAGGTCTGAAAGATTCCTTTTCACATCAGTCTATTCATATATGCTTAAATTTCCAGTAAACTGCTAGAAGAAATACTAAAATATATTCCCATCATTCAGATAAAGACTCCAGCCCAGGTAGAAGCTGCATTTGCATTTCTTACAGTCACTGGTTCAGAGGATCTTGAAATTAGTAAATTTGAGGAAGCTTGTGGAGTTGGTGTGAAACTTCAAACTATTGCTATTGTTTTCCAAATAATTGAAAATATATTATGCTAAGATCCTTAATTCTTGTTAAGTAATATAATTGAAATACTTATTTGGTAACAGGGGTTGAGGTCTCTCTTGAAGATATAGAAAACACAGTTAATGAAATCTTTGAAGAGAAAAAGAGTGCAATTTTGGAGCAAAGGTATCGAACAAATGGTGAGTTTCAGTTTTCTTATGTTTCCTTAATATGTATTGAATTTGTGTCTGATGTGTCATTTAATGATTGGTTTCAGTTGGTGATCTGTTTGCTCATGTCAGAAAGAAGCAGCCTTGGGCAGATCCAAAGATTGTAAAGGTAAATAAGTTAAATAAGTTAAATAACTCACTTTTCTTGTTTTTATCTATCTTTTTTATCAAAAATTGATTATTATCTTTCATGTTTCTTTCACCAGAGCCTTATAGATTCAAAGCTATATGATTTACTTGGTGAAAAAACTGCAGCAGATAATGAAAAGCCTGTAAAAAAGAAGAAAGAGAAGCCTGTTAAAGTAGAGGTGTGACATAGTCAACTGCATATTCTACTAAAAAAACATAATGCTTATGTCTTTCTCATATATAAACTTTTACAGGTCAAAAATACCCCTGAAGAATCTTCTCTCCAGACACCATCTGAAGAAGAACTCAATCCTTATTTAATATTCCCTTCACCTGAAGAGAATTATAAGGTTATCTTTCCTTTATATCGACTCATTGGCTTTCTTCTATAAATCTTTATTACTCTTTTTGGCAAGTTTTTCAATTTCTTTATGATTGTGTATATGTAACAGGTGCATACAGAAGTATTTTTCAGTGATAGACCTGTGCTTAGAGCATGCAATTCAAAAGCATTATTAGAGAAACATTTAAAGACAACAGGAGGAAAAGTTCTTACCCGTTTTCCACCAGAACCAAATGGATACCTACATATAGGTCATGCAAAGGTACGTTTCTATTTATAGTAATATCCTACAAAAGTCAATTTAATTAAACATATTAAGTTATAGAGAGAGTATGATTTTCAGGCTATGTTTGTTGACTTTGGTCTTGCAAAAGAAAGAGATGGAGGATGCTACTTGAGATATGATGACACAAATCCTGAAGCTGAGAAAAAAGAATACATTGATCATATTGAAGAAATTGTAGGGTGGATGGGGTGGAAACCTTTCAAGGTAAAATTATAAAATAATATAAATCTGTGATTATAGTAAAGTATGTTGCTGTTTTTCTCCTAAAGGGTATTCTTGGAATTTAAAATTTTCAGATCACATACACCAGTGATTACTTTCAAGAACTGTATGATTTAGCAGTGGAGCTCATACGCAGGGGCCACGCCTACGTGGATCACCAGGTTTATTATTAAATAAATATTTTATTTGTTTAAATTGTTTTGATATACAATACGTTTAATAATTTTATTTAATAATAGAGTGGTGATGAAATAAAAGAGTACAGAGAAAAAAAGATGAATAGTCCATGGAGAGATAGGCCCATTTCAGAATCACTTAAACTTTTTAATGATATGAAATGTGGATTGATTGAAGAAGGAAAAGCCACACTTAGAATGAAACAAGATATGCAGAGTGACAATTTCAACATGTATGACCTCATTGCATATCGAATCAAGGCAAGTATTTTTTTTTTAAAAAAAAACTATATTTTTTTTTGGTATTAATTGATTTTTGTTTTTACAGTTTACACCTCATCCACATGCGGGAGACAAGTGGTGTATTTACCCGAGTTATGATTATGCACATTGCATTGTGGATTCCCTTGAAAATATCACACATTCGGTATTTATTTATTTATTTTGTATTTGTATTTTTTTAATATAAAAAAAAATAAATAAATAAAACATTTTTTTTTTGTAGCTTTGTACGCTTGAATTTGAGACACGTCGCGCTTCATACTATTGGTTGCTAGACGCCCTAAGCCTTTACCAGCCTTACGTATGGGAATATTCACGTTTGAATATAACCAACACAGTAATGTCAAAACGCAAGGTAAGTCAAAAGTCAAAAGTCAAAATTCAAAAGTCAAAATTCAAAAGTCAAAGTCAAACTTACAGTTTTTTTGTAGTTGAATCGGCTTGTGACTGAAAAGTATGTTGATGGATGGGATGACCCTCGGTTGATGACACTGGCTGGATTGAGGCGCAGAGGTGTGACTTCAACTGCAATAAATGGTTTTGTTAGAGGAATTGGGATAACAAGAAGGTAGTAATCTGTAACTTTTTTTATTTTTTTATTTTACTATAATATAATAATTAATAGCATTCATTGTACTTGTGGTTTTTTTTAGTGATGGTTGTATGATACGGTTGGAACGCCTGGAGTATCATGTGCGTGAAGAGTTAAATAAAACAGCTTCGCGTACAATGGTTGTGCTGCATCCACTAAAGGTACACTAAATTACATTTTTCACCCCAAAAACTTTTATTTTACAGTTTTGACCCCAAAAAGTTTTCTTTTAAATTTTTGGTCCATGTTTTAGGTTCTTGTGACATTTTGGACCCTATTCCATGTAAAATGACTATTTTTGGTCTCTGATTACAGCTGGTTTTTCTAATTTTGGTCCTAAAATATAGTCATTTCACTTGGAATAGGGACCAAAAACGTTAAGAAAACCTCAAATAAAGACCAAAATTGCCAAATAAAACTTTTGGGTTACGTAGGGACCAAAAATGTAACTCTGATATAGCATTTTTGGTCACTGAGTATAGCTATTTATTCAGTTTTATCTTACATTTTTAGGTCTTTATTTGAGGTTTTTGTAATGTTTTTAGACTTGTTCCAAGTAAATTGACTATTTTGGGTCTGAGTATGGCTGATTTCTCCTGTTTTGGTTCAAAATTTTGGTCATTTTACTTGAAACAAGGATAAAAAACATTAGAAAACCTCAAAGGAGGACTAGAAGTGGTAGAGAAAACTTTTGGGTACTAAAAATGCAAAAATCAGATAAACTCAGGGACCAAAAATGTGATTTATGTTAATAATCCTGTTATTGAATTTGAATGTTTTTAGGTTGTTATTACGAATCTTGAGGGCAGTTTAGTAACAGACCTTGAT